GAGCCCCGGTAGGGCTGGGCACCCAGACTGCGTTAAATGCAAGTGGCTCAGCGTGGCCAAGGGTTGCCTGCTCCTGGCTGTGCCAGCCTCTGGGAGCCCCAGCCAGGGTTACGTCAAAGCACAAGGGGTAGCGCTAGCTGGGACCACTTGCCACAGGACCTCGGCCCTCCTGTGGGCTCAGCAGCATGTGGAGAAATGACTGTGGAAAGTGCTGGGGGCTCTCTGGTGGGAAATGCTTCCCCACACAGCAGCATTTGGCCACTGCCTTTGGTGAGGGATCGGAAAACCACGTTTGTGCAGGCAGCAGAGACAGCAAGGAGGGCTTGGGGGCTCTGGGGGAAGGAGCCACCCCCTCAGCCCAGCTGTGACCGCACGTTTCAGTCCCTCACTGGGGCACAGGGTCTGGCGGGTGCTCACCCTTGGGTTCCATTGTTCCTTTAGAGCTGTAGGGACACGGCAGTGACTCCCCACTGTCCTGAGCTTGGTCTGGGGGGTTCAGCCTTTCTCTGGCTGGTGTGGCTGGAGTTGGGGAAGGTCCCCAGAGTACTCCTGGACCGTGGGGCTTTCCCATGGCGCGAGGCTTGCTCCGCTCCATCCAGCACTACGCGAGCTCCCAGCTATGCGGAGCAGCCTCCCTTTGCAAAACGCTTATCTCACCCTCAATAACATCGACATGCTGTCTCTGGGAGCTGCCTCTCCCCTCCAGATGTGCAGAGCGTGTCTGTGCATCTGTCCCAAGATCTCGCACCGCAGGCAGCAGCTCCACTTCCCTGCCTGCCCCCCGCTCCTCACCCTAGCATGTAGCCTGGGGTAAGCTCCTGTGTGCTCACCTCCGGGAGTGGCTCCCTCTCCGCTGCGGGTGCGGTGCACGGGCTTGTGCCGTTACTCAGCCTTGCTTTATTTTTAGGGATGTCTTGAAAACAGACGTCCCTTCCCAGCCAGGGGCCGGAGCCAGGTTCCTGAGGCCTGGGTAGAGGCAGCTGGGTTTTTGGCAGGGCTGTTAGCTGGGCTCCTCTGAAATTTCCGGTGCTCTGTGTGGCCGTAGGTACCATAATCGGATCACCCCCCTTCTGGGGGCAGGGTGCTTGAGGGTACCCACTGCTGCGTCCCCATCCGTGCGTCCCCCCTGGGGCAGCGCTGCTTGGAAGGAGCGGAGTCCGACATTCCTCTGTCGGACTGGGCTTGGGGTGGTGGTTTTTTGGAAGTGCTGGGGTTTAATTTCTGTGTTGCCTTGCTGAAAAGCTGTGTGCTTCTGGGATGAGTCAGAGCAGGGAGGAGCCCAGCAGCGATGGTGTTGGCAGTGGGCAGGCAGAGCCGGTGATAAAGGTGCGATAAGGCCATGAGAGCCCTGCTCTCATGCCAGGGCTGCAGGGAGCGGGCAGCTCCCAAGCCCGCTGCCTGACCTCCAGCTGCACCGCTGTCAAGGAAGCGGGGAGGTTATTTTGGGAACCATGGCACTGGGAAAATCTGCTATGTCAATAGAGTGTGAGCTAAAGCACTTGTGGGTAGTGTTTTCAAAATGTCCCTTCTCCGTGCCCAAATCCCTGGGCTTTGCCCCAGCAGCAGGCAGGGAGCCTGGCTCGGGGGTGGCCCCAGCCTCGGTGCTCGCTCCCCGGCTGGGGAGGGGTCCGTGGCCATTGGGCATGTCCCACGGCAGCTGGGCCCCCCATGCAATCTGACATATCGGCCGCGGTTGCCTCCGGCTGAGGTCCCACTCCCAAGCCTCTTCCCACGATCCCTGTCACCTTCCTCAGAGTCTGGCTGGAAGCTCCCCTCTCTGTCCCTGCAGTTTTTTGTTTATCCTGGTCTGATCTCCACTTTGAACAGGGTCCACGTCCCCTGCGCTGCCCTGCGCCCTCCCACCCCTCACAGCACAGCATGCTGTGGCATGGGGATGGAGGCAGCCTTCCTCCCCCTCTCCGGCGGCAGCCCCGTGCTGTTCCCGTCTCCAGCAGCTCGTTAGCACCGGCTGGGACCTGAGCAGGGGCTGCTGCGGCCGGCGGAAACATGGGTGGGCTGAGACGGGATTAGACATGGTCAGGGAAATTCCAGCTGCCCCGTGGTTAGCACGGGGCTGCTCTGGCTCCAGGAAACCTGATGGGGCCACACATGCTGGCTCTCCATAGCTGCTTCCCCCTGAATATCCGTTCCCGGCGGCTGCTGGACCAGGGCTGCCTAGGAGAGGTGGGTGAGGGGGGGCAGTGGGTGGTGGGGACCAAGGGCACCCCCATGCACCCATGTGGGCTGGAGGGGGCAGGGGAGGGGTGGCAGCAGGCGCCCCTGAACAAGTGGATGGGACGGGCTTGTGCCCTGCTTCCCAAACAACCCTGCGTGCGGGGCTCCGTCATCCGTGCACCAGGGCTGCTGAGGATGAAGAGCAGCATATGGGCTGCAGCCCAGCCACAGCAGCCCCTGGGAGACGGCAGCATGTGCTGCTTTGGGGCTGCGAGGCTGCCTGCAGTCGGCATCGAGGGGGTTTCCCAGCGCCCGCAGGCATGGCAGTGCTGGTGGGAGATGCTCTGGCTTGCTGAGGGCGCTCTGGAGCAGCCTGGCCTCTGGCTGGCACCAGCAACGCCGCTGACCCCTGCTTGGTGCCCACTCCCCGGCTGCGCTGGGCGATGTGCCTGTGGGGCAGAGCCCTGGAGTGGGTGCTTGCAGATTCCTGGCCCGTTTGCGCCTGCGGTTGGGGGGAGTGAACAAGAGCTGTGACCCCGGGCAGGGCTGGCGTGCTGTGGGGCCGCCTGCGCTGCCAGCCCTGGGCTGGGGCACGGCCAGAGGTCCTGACACTTGCAGGGGCTGTAGCTGGGGAGGCAAGTGCTGTGCATTGCCAAGGCAATGCCATGGAGTAGCCCCGGTGTGAATGTGTGCCAGCAAAGGGCAGGATCGTGCCCAGGGGCCTGGCTTTGCCTCACCTGCCCCTACAGTCAGGGCACCCAGCCGTGTCCCACCAGGGGAGCTCCCGGGGACGAGCTGCTACCTGGGTGACGTGAGCAGCGTGTTCGTGGGGCTGGCTGCTTGTCTTCAAACAAGGGCACTGGGGTTCAGGCGAGGGAAACCCAAAAGTCCATCCTTGAGATGATTGCGGTGTTTGCCGAGGAAATAGGAGTTGGAAGCAGCTCTGCTCCAGCGCTTTCCCTAACCCCGACGCTGCCCCTGTGCTGATTCATTGATTTGGACGGGTTATATACTGGGAGGGGAAGCATGAACCACACTCGGCTCTCTTGCCAGCACGGAGCTGTGCTCACACGGCGCTCGCGGCTGCAGGACACTCGGGTAAGTCTCCTCTCCGCTACTGCCCCTGTGAGCGGCCCCAGGCCCGGGGGACTCCCAGGGCAGCTCTGAGGGGTGGCAGCGTGGCGGCGGGGGGTGCACGTTCAGCATCTTTTGATTTAATGGAGATGTTTGTCTTGCAAGGGTTCTCCAACAAAGCGAGACCACTTAAGCATTGTGGGAGCTGAAATAGTTACATAGGCGATGTATCTTAAATAATAAGCAACAGAGAAAATTAAGGGGGACAAAGTAACATTTAGGGGAGTTGAGGTTAGGCGCAGTGGGATGCTGAGGGGCTGAGTGGTAGGCTATATTCAGCCCCTTGGTCTGTAAGCTTTTTGTCCCTAGAAGAAAAGAGAAGATAAATTATTTTCAGCTGCCTTTCCTGAAGGGCGCTCCAGCATGGATGCTCTCTGAGCTGCCTTACCAGGGAGTGACATGAGCAGGGCTTTTGATGTGCAGAGCGTTTGAGGAAGTTTATAAACGGCTTGCTATAAACAAAGCTGTTCTTGGGTGCAGATTGTTTCCATATGGGAAACATAAACTGCGCTGGCTTATGGAGGGTTCCTCCCTCCCTGTCGGAGAGCGAGCGTCTTCCCTGGAGGGAGCCTGGGGCGGAGGGCAGGGGCTGTGTCCCCAGCACCCTGGGGTGCTGTGCCAGCCGGGGCACTGTGCCTGGACCCCTGCGCTGCTGGACTTGCCTGTCTGGCTGAGCCGTGCTCAGGGACGGGGGAGCCACGGGTTTTCTCCCTCCCTTGTGCCACTTGAAGCTGTTGGGGGGGGGCTGCTTCATGCCAGCCTGGCACAAGGCTGCTGCTTTAATCTACGGAGGGAGGAAGCTCCCAGGCCAGAGGAGGGAGGAGAGGGTGTCCATGGTGGCCGTGCTTATGGGGTGATGGAGGACCTTGCTGTAAAGCCCTTGGCCCCCCCAGGTTTCAGGGCTCCCCTGGGACCAGCCCGCAAACAGGTGCCCACACCAGACACCCTGCTCTCACGGCCAAAATTGGCCAGGGCTGAGACCTTCTGCTGGGGATGGGGTGCAGACAGGGCCATCCCCGTACCCAGCCTGGGCTGGGGAGCTGGCAGAGGGCCCGGCTGACCCAGGCTCCTGCAGGATTGGAGCTAAAGCACGCCTGGGCAGCGGGTGCTGGCGCTGCTCTTGGCTCCACGACAGGAGCTCAGAGCCCTTGCTGCCAGGCAGAGCCAGGAAGGTGCTTGGCGGTGCTGGGGGGGGGGGGCCCTTTTTTCCTGCCCCCCCCCACCACCCCCGGGGTCCCCACCGCGGT